GTTTAAATTGGATTTCTTAGGGGATGAAAAATTGTCTGGCGCGAGACGAGATGGTCGCGTCTGCTAAGGGTCTTCTAACACATCATACCCTTAGGCAACAAGTATTAGATTCCTAATGACTATCGGTGTTATTCTTTGCGACACTTTGACCTTTCTGAAACCATTAATCCTTACATAATCTCTGAACAATGAATCATTGCAATCGGTCAAATACAGTTAACTTTAAGCTTATATAGGTGGATCTACTTCACCCGGGAGGAGGGGGACTCGTTATAATGGCCTATACAGAGAGGCTCCACGCGAAAGGAGTACCTCTTTCAGCCTTCAGGTATATAGAAGGGTAGGGATTTCACAAGTTGAGATATGTGAAAGGGTTGGGAAATCATTTAGTTATTTTAAATGCCCTTTAATTAAAATATTTCCAACAGACGCACCTTATGGCTGTATCATTTCAGTTATTGGGCACAGCTACATGAAATTGAAAATAGCAAGAAGACTCCCATTTTGGCGATTTATTCATAATAAATGAAAGTACAAGGGGTACCTACATATTTTCAATTAAAGATATAAGAAAGGAGTACCTTTTCTGCCAAAATGGCATACAAAAGGGGTTGGACCTAGGGGTGAAGCCTCTCTGTATAGAACTTTGTAGACTGCCCCCCCCCCCCGCCCCGATATCGTCGTGCCATCAAAAATGGAAATGACAACTAATCCATAATTCAAGACCATTGAAGTCAAGAATCTGGGATATGATAGATAATTGATAAGAAATAATCTCATCAAGATTTAGATCTGAGCAGTTTTTCATTCGCGCGTTATTCGGAGAAATAAATGTTTCACCCAAATTTCTAGAGCTTTGTCTGGAGACGCTATGTTGGTGCCCCTCAGGGGGAGGTAAAATAATGACAGGGTGACAGCGTCATATGAGAACCTATAATTCAAATTTCGAGAGGAAGTGAGACGTAAGTGTCTTGTTACTACTTAACCAGACTTCTGCTTTGATCAATTTATCAAGACATTCCCTGCAATTGCTGCGCGTAAAACGACAGTGATTGAGCTAAAAGAATGGCTGTCGACGAACGCTTCAGTGTTGTCGACTATGTGGTATTCTCCGTCATGTTACTGCTCTCGGCGCTGATCGGAATATGGTACGGCTGCGGACCTGGAGGAAAACAAAACACCACTGCTGAATATCTTCTGGGAGACCGCCAAATGAAAAGCTGGCCAATTGCTATATCTATCCTGGTGTCTTTTCTCTCAGCAATATCCCTACTGGGCTTGCCAGGAGAGATCTACACTTATGGAACCCAGTTTTACGTTGTTGTCTTGAGCTACGTTTTGATTTGTGCGGCAACAAGCACCGTGTACATTCCAATGTTTAGACGGATCAAGATCACTTCTGTTAACGAGGTAAGAAAATCTACAGGTTTCGTTGCGATCGATAGGCTAAAACGCCCAAAGAGCTCCAAATTAAATTTCAATCTTAAAAAAAGTGACGCAAAAACTAAGGAAGAATGAATGTTTCTTTCGAAGGGAAGGGGCGAGTTTGTGTTTTGTAATATTTGAGGGATCCGGAACGAGTGGTCCTCTGGAAAACCCCCGAAAGACTAAGCCAACCAAAATCAGACAGCAACAATTGAAAGCGCGATATGTTGACACTGACCTTGAACTCAATACCCTGTAATTAGAATGGGTTTAGCGTCCTGTGCAGTCTTTTCCGTTTCCTCTTAGTGGGAGAAAGCGAGAGCCAAGGGCAAGTCGCGCGAATGCGTGGGGCGAGAGCAAAACGTTAGGAACGGGGGGAGGGGGGATGGGTAGTGGTGGGTAGTGCCCCTCCCCCCTGCCACTAATTTTTTGTTACCCCTGTCTCCGTGCCCTCGCGCGACTCCCGCTTGCCTGAAAGAAAACGGAAAAGACTGGTACGCAGGCTAGTGCATGCAGACGCTCTTTAAGCTCGTCACGCAATCTTCCTCTTGCATAACGAGCCTGAAGACTGTCTGCGTAGGAGGCTAGGATGGTTTTCACTAGCGTAAACAATTGTGAAGTTGAGAGAGGCTTCACCAAATCAATGCCAGGGTCTGACTTGCCCCCAGTCGTCTTCTTGCAACTTCATACAGCGCGCAGCTCAGGGCGAGGTTGGAGCGCAGGGTGAGATGGGTAGGGAGACTCTATCCGTAAGGTCAGGGAAGCTTTTTTATTTTTAATTCAAAAGGGCAGAACAATTGATCCAGATGGTCTGAACATCTGCGAAGAAACAAATTAATTGTTTCCTTTCATTATTTTATTACTTTATTTTACCATATGCTTATCTTTAATTTACACTGTCAATTAGTTTTACGTATTTGTGGTATTACTTTAATATACTACATAAAAACATGTCCTAATGTAAAATTCTCATTGTACCTAAAGAAGGCTGGTTTGGCCAGCCGAAATATAGTACACCTTAAAAAAAATTACCCTACGTTGGGTCGGTTTCTGCTTTTATATCTCCTTTTGTATCCTCTCACCCCCGGGAAAGTCTGCGACGAGGTACCATCGTTATTAATAAACATAAAGCAGCCCCAGGGTGGCTGTAATAACAAAAGCGAGATAGGAATAGAAAAAAGGACATTTGGTTTTCCCGAGATCTAGGGAGGAGCTAATGAACCTGTGACTTTATATTTTCACAAGCCTTAAAACAGGCCTCAGCTATTATTTTTCACCGATGCATGGTTCTTAATTTCTATGCTTTTAAACGAAAATAGCGTAGCAATTCCTTTGTTATATTTTTTCTAAATCCCACTGTCTTTTGACCCCGGTTTCAATCATCATTAAGTGTCGAAGATTGATCAGTAGATAGTCTTTGTAAGTACCGTATCATTATTTATTTTTCTAGTACCTTGAAAGACGCTTTTCTTTCGGCGTTAGGATACTGGGCAGCGGTTTCTTCATTCTTTCCGTGGTAAGTATATAAGCTTATGTATGCAAGCTCTGAATTGCTCCACTGTCATTGCAGCCGTGGAGTCGTTACGTGCCCATTAGGACAACCACTTAGTGCAGTACACGACACATGCAGGATCGGAGTAGACTCTGAGCAGTCTCTCTTTTCTTCGAAAATCCGTGAGGAAGAGCGCAAAACAAGAAAGCTTGCGAGCATGACTGTGAGCGTGAAGTGCGAGCCCTGCGAGCCACTGGTATAGCTTTTCGTTCGTCTTCCGACGCCCGCACTACTAGCGGCTCGCGGCATCGCCGCTCGTCACTCACACGTCACGCTCACAGTCGCGCTCGCACGCTCACTTGTTTTGCGTTCTACCTCTTGAATTTTCGAGGAAAAGAGAGACTGCTCGTAGTTTCATACAGGAGATGTTGCGCGTTTATGTAACAATTTTCCCAAATTAAGACCGGCGGATGAGTGAAATAAGAAATACATATTGTGGCCTGGGGAAGACTTCCCCATTCGTGCTTGTTGTAAACTGGAACTCGCTAGTAAATGCAGTGTGCAGAATCGTACCCCGTTTATATTGCATACCGTGTCTTTTTTTGACTTTTACTCATTATATTGCAGACTCTGTACCTGTTCGTGGCACTGTTTGCTCCATCGCTGGCATTGGAAGCTGGTAAGTGAGGATCGAATGGAGGTAGCCTGCATAGCAGACATTTTCCTTCCATTTTCCATGCGGGTAGATCGAGCAAGCGAGCGAGCAATGCAAGCGAGCGCGCCAGGGGTGAGCAAAAAGTGGAGAGAAGTGGGGAGGGGGTGAACAAAACTAGGAGGAGTAGGAGAAGGGGGAGGGGATGGGGAGGAAAGGAATCCATTCATTTTATGCCCCACTTCCTCCCCTTGCTCGTTATTGTTTCGCACTCCCTCGCAGTTTTGTTCCCTTTGTGCTTTTGGAAATGAACTAAGGCTAAACTGGAGGTAAAATTGTCGACAAGAATTCAGAGTTTTCACATCATAGTGACTCTGGCCAGAGCTCGAACCCGGGCGTTGAGCTCGCATTCAGTCCACTGCACTAACCATTTGGGCCAATGCACCCCACAAGAAGGGTGGGGTATAAAAGGTTTTGTCATAAATTGAACCAGGGAATGGTACTCCTCTAAGCTTTTGGTGGGGGTGTGCAGCCCTAATCTTGAAACCTGTATCCTATAGCTTAGACCAAAATCTTTTATTTTCCCAACCCCATTTCAGACCTTTAAAATTAGTACGGGGCTCTAATATGTGACTCATGTTAACAGTTTAGCTTTCTTGACTTATTCAACTTCTTTGCTATTTTATGCGTAGTAATACTTTAAAAACGTTGAATTAAAAACAAAAACCGGTTGAAACTTTTACTGCGATAACAAATGAAATTGTTGTTGGCAAGACCGATGACTCGTAGGGTTTTAGTTTACTGTTCTTTCATTGCAGTTGCAGGCATCCCTCTGACAGTTTCTATTCTGGCCACTGGCGCTGTTTGCACTTTTTACACATCTCTGGTGAGAGAAATTTACATGTAGTTTAGGCTGCGTTGGCCTAGACTGCGAGCAGTCTCTCTATTCCTCGAAAATAAATGGAGAACAACGAAAAACAAGTAAGCGTGCGAGCGTGACTGTGAGCGTGACATGCGAGCGGCGATGCCTCGAGCCGTCACGCTCACAGCATGCTCGCACGCTTGCTTGTTTTTCGTTCTTCCCCACGGATTTTCGAGGAAAAGAGAGACTGCTCGCAGTCTAGTGTTAGCCTTACTATTTTACTATGACAAGGGAGTATGAAGAGAGTAAATCCCTGATATAGGTGTAATTCCTAAGGTAATCCCTTTCAAATCTAGATCACTCACGGCAGCGATCGGTAGCCAATCATATGACACACATCTTACTCACGTGTGCAGTGTAAGCGGTCTTAGACCCATTTTCAAACCTCCAACTCCACAGCCTTAGTAGTCTGTTGTCTCTTGTGTCACTGCATAACTGCGACAAAACGGCGATACTACAGCAGTAACACGCTTGAAACATGGCGCCATCTTTATTTTGTGAGACCAAGTAATGACTGCACAGCCTTCTCAAATATGGGCGTGTTTACTCTCCAGGGTGGTTTAAAGGCCGTGGTCTGGACAGACGTGTTTCAGTCGGTGATTATGCTGGCGGGTCTTGTCATTGTTGCCGTTACGGGAAGCATAGAAGTAGGAGGTCTCCAAAAAGTCTGGGAAATCAATCGAGAACATGGACGAATCAACTTTTTTGAGTATGTATCGTGGCAGATCTTTATTAATCGAACGAGGATGTTCAGACACACCGCAATCATTGGTAGAAGTGTTTCGTTTAATTTACTTGTTTGTATAGTTTCCCGCAATGTTGAAACGGAAAGATTAACTAGTTTTTCGCTATTTTATTTTCTATTCGCAGCTTCAACCCAGACCCCAGGATTCGAAACACGTTCTGGACTCTCACCATGGGAGGGACTATCGCTCTGTTGCCGGTTTGGGCCACGACTCAGTATTTTGTTCAGCGATATCTTGCGGTGAAGACGCTCAGAGAAGCTAAAAGGTCAGGCTACGCAGTTTCTTACTGCTGTATACATTTATGATTTTATTGTTTATTAACCAGGCACTTTTATCTTCTGGCTTAACAATTTAATTATTACAATTTATGTTTATCGTTTATCCCAAAGAACGATTTACTCCTCGGGGGAACTCCCATGTAAACAGTCCAGTTAGCTGGCCGCTTAAGGGTGTAAAACACTGACTATGGTCTCACTCAGGGTGTTCACGACGAAGCGTACTATTTTAGCCATCAAAGCTACACACAAGCAAATATTAAACAAACGCTGTCATGTCCGTCACAAAGCGGTATCTTTGAGGAGTCAAATATATTAATAAAGCTCGAGACACGCCCACATTGGTCTCCATAGCCCATTGCAAAAACGTGATAGGACTGGGACGAGTTTCTTATATTGATTGGAAATCTAAACATTTCAACTGAAATAAAAATTTTACTAAACGAAAAGCTACTCAATCAAGTTTGAGAGTTTTCAGCGGAAAATTGTCCAAATGGGAGCCTTGCAAAAGTTGCAAAATTCCATACAAACCCTGACAATTTTGTGGCCTGTCAACCCAATCCATACAAACTCTCTATTTTAGGTGATATTTGAATAGCTATCATTTTGCCATTTTCCTCCTCTAAATACTTCTATTCTTGCTTAAGACTCTCAAATTTAGTCGATCTTTCATTTAAATATCTTAGTTTTTCAAACAAACGGAAAACAACCATACTCTCCCAGTCCTCTCACGTTTTTGCAATGGGTTATTAGGGGTTTAATTATAATGTCGCGACGAACATCCCTGACCTTTTCGCATGGCAGTCTGCCCCCATGGGTGAAGGGAGCGGGGTACTTTTATAAATTTAGTAATTCTAACCAAACGCTTTGTTTGTTTGTTTCATGTCTCATAGAGCGCTGTGGTTGAATGTTCCGGGCCTGATTCTCGTGGTAACTATCTGCACACTGGACGGAATGGTCATATTTGCCACTTACGCCGATTGTGATCTGAAAGAACAAGGAAAGATCACGAGGGGAGACCAGGTAGAGAATGGTGCGAAATATTACTACATGAAAGTAGCGGCCAAGGTTTCATTTTCATGTTACACGTTGGGGTTTCACCCAAAACTTAAATGTTAGAACCAACCTGTACAGCATAACGAACAGTTCCACATAAAAGCATTGCTCAATAGATTTGCTTATATATCGGGGCAAAATCTTCTTGTTAATCGATGATCAATATTTCTTCCCGTTGCCTCTGTGCATTTACAATGTAAGTAGCAACTAAGCGTTGTTCATTCTATGCTTAACTAACGCCAGGTTCTGCCATATTTCGTCATCAACAAACTCGGACACCTAAAAGGCCTGCCGGGAATGTTTACCGCCTGTCTTTACGGCGCTGCCCTCAGGTACAGTTAACATTCAAATGGTGACTTGACAGAGTAGGTAACACCTGACTCTGTAATATTTAGCCGTGCAAGAAACGAATAGGAAAGAAAGAATAGTGTAAATCGACGTATTGTTTATGCAACGGGTGAGCTAATACGCCCATTTACTCAGGTTAATAAGTTACGTTACATAAAGTAAAATTAGCTTTCAGTCTTTTAAACTCTCCGTAATCATCAAATTTATTTTCAACTAGAAAATCACGAAATGAACCTGACTTGTACTTGTTCAAACTACCATACATTTATCTCACAGCACAATATCATCTGCACTGAATGCGATGTCTTTAGTGATTCTAGAAGACCTCATTAAGAAGAAGGTAACTTTGACTGACAGAGAAGCCACTAAAATCGGCAAAGTCGTGGGTGAGCGCCAATCATGTTTTAAATAATATATCAAGCAAGAAAGACCGTGTTTAACCACAACTCCAAGCACCGAGAAAAGTATTTTTCGTCACGAACTTCGAGGAGTTTGGAAATGTGGTCAAACCCTGTCAATAATATTATCATATCATTATCATTATCATTATCGTCGTCGTCGTTATTGTCATCGCCATCGTTATCGCTATCGTTATCGTTATCGTTA